CTTAAACCCTTAAACCCTCAGACCCTTAGACCCTTAAACCCTTAAGCCCTTAAACCCTTAAACCCTTAAACCCTTAAACCCTTAAACCCTTAAACCCTAAACCCTAAACCCTATACCCTAAACCCTAAACCCTTTGTTTTCGGAGAAATTTGGGGCGGAAGGTTGCCATTAATCGGGAGGGGTTTTGGCAAGGTTTTTTTTTCAAGGGGGGGTCTCTGCTGGAAGAGGCCAGCGCCTTTAAAAAATACTTTGGGCCAGGTCCGAGGCCCGCGCGGGTTGCCATTAATCTGAGGGGGTTTATTAATCAAGAGTTAACATTACTCCCCGTTGTGCTACTTCGAACGCTGCCAGTGCTGCGGCACCTTCTGCGGCTGCGAACTAATGGAAATCGTGCGCAACTTCGATCATGGTGTTATTCTCTGATGCGGTCGAGGGCTCCTGCATGGGCGTCGATGTGAATCATGACTCGCCTCAAGCCCACCAAACTGGTGCAGCTTCGGGCAGAGGGTTCGGAGGGTTGTAGCTTCTGTGCCCAGGTGTCTACAACAAAGATATCGGAACCTCAAGGTTGCCTACGCCTGAAGACCTGATCATAAGCCGGCGCCCTGGCTTTGCAAGACTATCAGAAGGGACCACCTGAGCCAGCGCCTTGAGAATCGACTCTCACATCCCGACAAGACCAAGACACACTGAAACTTCGGGGCGCTCCCCAGAAGCCCTATGCCCCGAAGTTGTCTTATTGCAGGTACTGCGAGGCCTTGGGAGTCATAACTGCAAGGTTTCAGAGGGAGGTCTCAACCATCTTGACAGCCTTCATTGTGCCTTCTCCCAATCGGTCCGACCCATATAAAGCTGCAAAGCCCGAAACCGAGCCAAGCCTTCAACCCTGTGGAAAAGAGTGCTCAAACTCAAAATCCGCTCACAATGCGGCCAGGCAGCGGGAACCTCCGTGCAAGGGCGGCTGCCTTGGCCAAGAAGGGCAGCGCCGGGCCTGTCGGGAAACTTCTAGGGTTCTCGATGTTGCGGCTGAGGGATTGAGGTAGGTTTGGCTACAAGGATTCAGGTTTAGGCTGGTGGAGTTAGGGTACCGTGCCTCAGATTTGTCTCCAACAAATCTTCGGTTGTAGAGTGTAGAGTCTCGCCGCCATGCATGGATGAAGCCTCTGCGCGTACTTGCGATGTAACTTTGAATCTGTCCCTACAAGCAAAGTTACCACAGGACATGTGATACTGATTGTGGTTCGGTTCTAACGGTGAACTAGGCTTCTGGGGTGTGATCTTAGCAAAGCACTAGAGAATGCGAGCGGTGGCCTTGTAATGTGCGGCCCCTGTACTCGGAATCCGACGACAAATTTTGCTGGGCCCCCCCCCCCCCACAATCGAACGCCCGCAAGTTTCGATCTGAGGGAACCAAACCGATCACGCAGCGACCACGAGTCAAACGCAGGCTTGCCGCAAAGCGAATACGAATCACGTAAGACCCAACAGTTGAGCATCGCCCGCGTCTCGCAACCCTGCGTGCTTGTATGAGCAATTTGCTCACTTGAAGCCTTGTGATGACGATCCAGCACCTGAACCTGAACCTTGAAACCAAACTGCTAACCCTGCAACGTCAAATGTGAATTGATCCTGAAACGGCTCATAAACAGTACAAGGCACATCCAAAGCAACAACGAGAAGCCACAACCCGGTAAGCCTCTACGAATTCACAGGGAGCTGAATTCCTAGTCGCTTATGAAATTTCTCCCGCCTTGCAGCTTGGACCCACCGCCGTAGCCTAGTTTCGCGCTCGGGTCAGGTCTATCGTTTCGTCTCAATCCAAGGGTTTTGGCCTGGTATCTATTCTTACTGCATTTGCAGGCGTGCTGTTGGCCAGTCTCACCAGCTCAGGGCCTCGGATGGCCTCTGGACCTCACGCCTGATGTGCTAAGGAAATGATTGGCCTTTCAGAACTTCTGCCGGATTCACTGCTTTCAGGAACCCAAGTCAAACACTATACTTTGAAAGCGCCTGGACCTATAGTTCAGTTCGGCCATGCTGTCTCTGTTTCGCTTGGATGAATCCATTTCACAAAAACCGGAAAATGGGGGGGTCATCAGGGTTTCGACCGTTTGAACTTTGCAAGGTCTCCCAAAAAATGCCCGCCACTTGCGGAGGAGGCTTTTGAAGTGTTTCAGGTTCTCACGCCAAGCAGCTGAAATAGATGTGATTTTCAAAGGGGTTGCAGAGGGGCGCCACGGCCACGGCAAACGCAAGCTGCTCCAGCCGCACAGGCGCTTCCAGCTGGATCCCGACATCTGCCTCCAAGAGAGCGCCAAGCGTGACAAATCAAGTCCTCTGCCTATACTTCGCGCAACTCGTCTCTGCCTCCTAGCCTCCTAGATCTGTGACTGTGCATGTGCTGCCGAAAGGCTTCATGCAACGATAAGGTAGTTAAAACCTTTCTGCTTGTTGTGATGCCACGGTTGTCATGTGCTCAAACAAATTGCAAACTGTCCAGCCTGAGAAACTGGAACAATTGAAACAAGTTGTGTTTCATTGAAGATCAACACTTTTCTGGTCATTTTGCAGTTGTTGGTATACACCAAAAACAACGTTCACCCCAAATTGCGCAAAGCCTTTTTCATCAAAAGAAAGCATGTTCCAATAGAAACAGTACATTCTAAGTAACCAAGTGTAAACCAATGAAACACAAGCCCTTTGCGCGCTCAATTAACTACCAAAAACTCTAAAACTATCAAGCAGGAGCTGTTGAACTCCGAAACAAGCATTATAAATAACAAGAATACTATTGGGAACTACAGTATGTCGTCTGTCGCAGGATTTACAGCTACAATACAAAACAAACCTTTTGATAAGCTGGAAGCCTAGTTTCGCGCACAAACTTTGCCAAACTTCACAGCATATCACAAAACACAATTTGTACATTATACATTGCACACTTATAGACTGAACCCTACAGCAAGTCTTCAACAGCTCCAACGAGCCCAATCATGATTCACTAATGGCTATGGTGCTAAGTTTTTGCATTTAAGCACTGCGGGCCACAATTGTAACAGAAGTCGTGGCGATAGCAGTCGTAGCAGCTGTTAGAGTAGGCCTTAACTTTGCAAACCATGCCGGCGTTGCAGCACGTCTCGCGAGGAAGTCGGCGGATTGCAAAGTTTGTAGCTGCGTCCAGCTGCAGAGCGATAGCCGGCCCAGAATCTCCTAATTTCTAAGAAGTTTCAACTTAAGGCTCGGTATGTTATACGGGCCGAAGATAAGGTTCATAGCATATAGTATACATATCGTCCTCAAGATCTCTCTCTCTCTCTCTCTCTCTCTCTGCCGTGGATCGTACTCAAGATTGAGGGTTGTGGCTTTCGCATAACTGGTCTTGCAAGAGGTGTTCTCGTAAGCTAGGGACAGATTAGGACCTTCGGTTTTGCTCAGCATCGAGTCTAGATTCAACCTTCGGGTCCACTTGCAACGCACTGCGGTGAAGTGCCTCTTCAACATTCATCAACGTTAGTATGATGGAAGGACTATCAAGGGTCTGGCTCGTCTGCGGCATCTGCACGACTGACAATGTTTTTAGCTTTTGTAGCACAGAATGTCTGGCGGCCCTGGCGGTGCCATCGGAACTTCAGCATGTTGAGGGTTTGCTGGTGCACCTTGACTCTTTCTAAAGTCCCAGGTGCCGGCCATGCTGCTGTCTGGATTAAGTTCATGGTATGCTTGCGCTTCGGATTTGGTTGCAAATGGTCCAGTTGGTCTTCCTGCTGAGCACTGGAAGCTCATAGACGTTTTCAGAGCAGCCGCTGAACAAGACTGAAACCATTGCCATCGTCCGTCGTCCCTGAAAGCCCAAACCGTCAACTCCGCAAGCCCGAAGCTGTCAGAGCTTTAGGCCAGACCCGAGACCTCTCACGTCCTAAACCCACATGCCAGTACCTGGAATCGCTAAGCCGCGCCAAGTCCTCGGGCCAGCACCTCAAGTCTTAAATCCTTTCGTCTAAAACCCCTCAGCCAGGCAAGTCTCCGGATCCCCGCAGGCCGCGCCCAAGCACTCCACCCCCTGCAATTGGAGGCTTTTCGACATTGCTGCAAAGCGCTGGGGTTTTCAGGTTTCGTGGCTCGGATTAAAGCCCCCCTACACTCTTCAACCCTCTGCTGTAAGCTCCGACACAACTCCACGGAGCAAGGGCCGATTCGGGTCCTGAGGCGATGCCAAAAACGCAGTGGCCCGGGTGCAGAGTTCGCAACGGCACGCCGGGGGCTGCTCCTGCAATTTGCTTTTGTGGAGGCTCTTTTCCTCCTGCTTAGTCGGAATCCACGCGGTGGACCGGTGCAGCCAGTCCGACCCTCCGATTAGCCCACTGAGAAGCCATCACCACCAAAACCAACACTCCAAAATCGACCTCAAGCTCGCAAGCTGAACCAACGGCACTTGCCTGCGAGGTATCGGGCAGGTTTAGCTTTGTAAGCAGGAGGTTGAAAGACTTAGGAAGCAATTTCTGTGTTAAGGTTCCCCCGCCAGTACAGCATGTCTTTGTGCAATAGACGCCGCAGTGCGCATGGTTGATTTGCCAGGAGACTGTTCACAACATTTTCCATAGCAGAATTTATGGGCTTGGACATTGGTCTGGGATTTTGGAGTGCATTTTAGTCTACGTTCAATCAGGATTCCAATATGGTATGGCTATGGCTTGCATGTTGCGACGGAACGAACGCTTGGCCTTCTCATCTACAAGCGCTGGGCGCTTGCACCATGCAGCCGACTTCTGCAGTAGCCATTGCACAGGGCTGCAACATCCGACCATCCCCTGGAAATAACCAGGAGACCCCGCACCCAAAGAGCCGCAATTAGGCAATCACTCTCAGAATGTCCGCAAGCCCGCTTCTCGAGAGCGCTGTGAAGTGGGACGCGACATGTATGTGTATATATATATATACACACATACATACATGTGTGTACATTGGTCACAACTCTAGGCCCTACAACATGCAACGGCTGCGCAGAATCGAACAATGGGGGCGAGGAAAAATATTCGAGCTGCAGAGCAATGTCGCACCAGTGATCTCTTTTCCGCAAAGGTGCTGTCGCAACGTTTGCTTCGCTGAAGTAGTGAAAGGTATGCAGGTATGGCTCATGCAGGGATCTTGGGTTTGAGGACTCCGTTGGGTTCAAGCGTGTACGGTTGGCTTCTCAACTCCACCACCACCGTCAACATCGTGCCTCGCATAACAGCCTGAGACTGCTCAGAATCACCCACGGGTTTCCTTGGGCCTCCGCACATCCCATTGCAAATCGGGTCTCTGCTTATATTTACACGGGATGCTCGCCGTGCAAGTCTCCCGAAGTGACGGTGCGGTGCATACTTCTGATCGTCTACGTGCATTCATTGGAAATAAATCGATACGGACCACCCTTGCTTGTGGAAAACTTTGAATCGCCGCAGTACTTTGGGGAAACGGTTCCGCCTCACACACTCGCTCCAAGCGGGCATGGCTTCACGACGTCCGAAACGGTTTAAGTCTTCCTTTCGATTCCACGAGGCAAGGGGGGCAAGCATAAGTCCAGTCTTCCCGAAACGAGCAATGTGATGCATATACATATCTCTCTCTCTCTCTCTCTCCTCTCTCTTTTTTTCTCTCCCTCTGTCTCTTCTCTCTCTTCTCTCTCTCTCGCTCTCTCTCTCCTTCTCTCTCTCTCTCTCTCTCTCTCTCTCTCTCTCTCTCTTGCTTGCTTGCAGGGCGTGTGGGC